CAGCATGGGCATCAGTTTGAAGTTCGAGACTCGGTTCGCTTAGAGTGAAGGAATAGTTGTGGAATGGGGGAACCCTTAATGTGACTTATGAATATTTTGTTTAGTACCAATCTGCAGCTTTTGTATATTTTCTTGCTACGACTTGTTATTAGGACATCTTAACTTGTTGTGTACCACTTATGTTTCCCTTCATAAGATTGTAGGTCTGACGAGGATAGTGTGCCCGCCCTCTTGCATCCAGATTCAAATCTCTCGCCCCATAAATTTAAGGTTTCACTTGTTTGTTTGGATCACTTTACATTTGTTTTTAAACAATCCAAACTGCGTCGCTTTTAGCTCTCAAAAATCATCTTTACTAAAAATCACCAAAACTGAAAGTTATATGACCGTTGAATTAAATGGTGATTATTTAGAGTTAATGCTGTAATGATTCTACACTTGTTTAATTTCTTGCAAGTTTGATCTATGATGATTTAAAATATAAGTGGTTTGAATCGTCGAAAAAAATTTGGGCCTTACATATAATTTCTTAAGAAGAAAAAAAATAAGTGAAACATATAACTCATCTGGATGTGAACCAAAAACCACACAAGGACAAGGTCATGGTTGTCTGAGAAAGTGAAGACAGCTTTGTATTCGTTCTTTGACCAACAAAAAATATCGAGTCCTCCAGAAGCCATTAGCAACTAAAAGCCTCTACCTTCAGATGATACAACTCTATTACAAACGAACTCTAACTACTCTCGACGAAACAGGCGACGAAACAGGCGTTGCAGAAGCTCCGAATCATTTTTTGGGTGAATCCGTCTCTTGCATAAATGGCTCTCGCAATGCTGTCGGCAGCTTCAGCTCCGGCTCAACTTCAGGAAGTGGTGAGAAATAGCAATCAACCATGTCTTTGGAAACATCTTTGAAACTAGGGGGGTTCCACTGCAGAATTGGGATGGAAATCAATCATACGATCGCAGCTTGAGAAAAGATTTATGAAAAAATTGTAGTTTTCTCAGGACTAACCTTGGGCGCAAAGTCCTTGTCTACCAATCTTGCTCGAACGCCCTACAGATGGATAGAAATGGGCCAATGTAATAGCGGATTAACGACGTTCACTCCATTGTTAACCCAAAAACAAAAAAGACATTCACTCCGTTAAACTTTGAGAACCACATACCTCAGAGAAGTCACTAGAGACCCGGTTGGAAATTGCAGCAAGAGATATACGATATTCACGAGCCAGACACTGATCCAGAGATTGAAATCTACCCTCGCGTATCTGAATGAAAAAATGAAAGTCAGGTAGAGAGTATAAAGCAATACAGGTCCAACTCCATAACGTGCTAGGGAGTGGTAACTCACCGATCGTAAAGAAACTATCAAACTCAAAGGGGAGGCTTCTTTTATTTTCTTGAGGACTGTTTTGCACCATTCATCATAAGAGTCAGCAGCTTCCTTCTCCTGTACAATTTATTTCCTTTTCAAAGTTATTCGCTAAAGCATTTGACAAAATCATAGTATATTCGAAAACATTTGGTTATGCTATCTTGGCTAGCATTTTCGTGTTATCTTTTCTATCCAGGCCTTCCAAAAAGACTTTTCTTCACATTCCTAGACCCCCCTTCGACACATTCCTAGACCTAACACTGATAGGCTACTGACGAATAATGGTATTATTAAGTCGATGAACAGATGGTACTATAAGTTCTTTTTGGTTTAGAACAATTATCTCATACTTACCAATGCATCAGTAATTTCCTCAATTGTGTCATGGCTGAAACATCTATCAATAATGTCGAGCCTGAGTTGACATAAGAAAATGGAGATAAATCAAGTCAGACAGACAAATTGATGATACTAGAACTAAATTCTATGGAACTGATAAATCTTAGTATTACCGAGAAATATGTGATAGAAAATTACTTAGAAAGTATACTCCTCCTGTCTAGATAAACAAGGTCACCATATTGTGCAAGAGCTGTTTCTATTACAGAAGGTTCATCAGTAACTAAATTTCCGAGGCGTTCTTCAACCATAGCAAGTCTCTGGCAGGATGAGTTTTGATGACTATTAGAAGCAGATTAATGATAAATTACAGAAACAAGAATAAATATGTGCAGTGCAAACAAACCGCATTTAACGCATAGTGCGTAGCAAGGCGACAGGCAATCATCTCCACACCATTAAGCTTGTCTCCTGTAAGAGCTAAGTATTCTCCTACAAAAAAAAAAAAAAATGAAAAGATAATTCTTTTAGATATATGTAGAACTTGAAATTGTGATAAAGGCTGGACATCTTAAATTTACGCAGGTTATGTTACCTAGGTAGCCAGGTAGACGAGACAGATAAAAGGAAGCCCCTGCATCAGGATGGAAACCTATCTGGGCCTCTGGATTGGAAAATATCTGCAAAAATCCAGCACAGTTGAAAAGAATACAAATTCTGCACTTCATTTAAGACACAGTCACACAGGTAGAAAAGAAAAAGGAGGAGTTATTTTCTTTTTCAGAAGACTGGAAGATGCATCACTCAAAGTGTAAACAAGCAATAATTTATCTTCAAACTTGAAAATGATTCCAGAGTAAAAAAAACATTTACATTTTCTTGTATAGCAATAATTTATCTTGATTGACAAAATATGTTGCACTATGCATGCATTATAAAACTTGCACTTTAGAATGTTCAGCATTTTAAACTCTCGAGTATATCTGAACCAATCAAGCATCTCCTCCTCCCCCCATAGTCATATCTTCAACAAGGTTGAATGTTTTAATTTCAAGTCGCACAAGACAAGGTTTGGGGTAAAAATCTTATTCGTTTATGATGTTAGGAGATAAATCAGCCTTCAAACAAAAAACACAAGACCAAAATCTGGTGAAACCAATTGGTAAGTAAGCAGCAGCCACATACAGTTTTATCAGTCACCACACGAAACATTCCTGGGATTGAAATTCCAGCCCCAGCTCCCATGGTGATACCATCCATGATAGCTACCTGCACAAATATGATAAAGCGATCATCAAAGCCACATTTATATTTTGACAAGGACTTGAAAGCACATTTCTATGCATAAACAGATCTTTATACTTTAGGAAATCAAAACGTATGTACAACTGTAGTCTGCCACATGCCTACAACCCTACTCAGGTTGTGCAATAGAAGCAGTGCTAGTTTATTAAAATTATATCATACAATTATAGTATAAAGCACATAGGTATAGAAAAGGTAAATACTCACATGTGGCTTCAAGTACGTTCCTTGAATATACACAAACTTATACAATGTCTCGAAAAACTTTTTACATTCATCAAGATTCCCTGCACATTATTAAAGAATTTGAAAAGAAAACAAACAATGCCATGTAAGTATCCCACAGTTAAGACTAGAAAAAGAAAATGGCACCAAACAGGCGCGGAAATGTGCACTAAAAGTGTCACAAGCAAAACCTCAAGGAGGTATGTCTAATCACAATGATGTATCTAAAATCAGCATAAAAGATAAACAAGTAACACTGAAGAAAAGATTCAGTACGAGAAAGTACAAATGGCATTCCCAAACAGTTGGATCGCCGGCGATCAAATTTTCAAGTACATCATTATGTGTACTAAAAGTTCAATATTGAAGAATTTGTTCTCATTATGTTAATGAAGATGGAAAAAAATTAGATGCACACGGTTATAAAACAAAATTAGTCTTGAGTTTATAACCGATACCTTGAACTAAACAACGTGTAAAAAAAATTAGCAAAACAAAATGATTGGGTTACCTTCATTCACTAGTTGATAAAGGCTAACAGCATCTGCACCGGCGCAGAAAGCCCTCCCACTACCCTTCAAACAGCAGAAAATCAAATAGCACCTCAGACAAAGTCTTTCAAAATAGTTCTCAGCACATTGCAAAAAGTTAAAAAATCCGATAAACGAAACAAAGCATGATGCCATTAAACCCGAAGACTGTTTTCTCATGGGAACAACGCAATACCTTCATCAAGACAAATCCAATGTCCGGGTTATCCTCCCATGATTCATACAGTCTCTTCAGTCGAGCTGCCTATAGAACCCAACAACGAAAACATCAAAAGATCCGAAATTTATCCGAATTAAGCAACACCACCATAACAAAAACTCTAAGGAAGCAACACAAATGAAGAAACAGCAACAGCACAAACCATGGAACTGTTGAGAGCATTGAGTGCAGATGGCCTGTTGAGAATTGCCGCTCTCGATTTGGCTCTTCCCTCCACCGTAACCTGAGTTTTTACGTTCACAAACAAATGAATCAATGCAGAAAAAAACCCAAAAACCCAAATCGAATTAATAAAAAAAAAGAAAGATTGGTGCTTCTCAAGAAATGAAATGGTTATAGAGAGAGAGAGAGAGACCAGGTCCTGGACGTCGTCGTATTGGGCATAGCTTGGTTGGGCAGAAAAGGCTCTGTGATGAGAGAGAGAGCTGCTTCTTCCTCTCTGAACCGCACACCTCCCCAGAGCTTCAATGGCTTTTGCTCTCTGCATCTCTCTCTGCTATTCTTTCAGCGCTCTCACACAAGCAGTCTCCAGTCTCAGCTAACTAGGAACTAAAGCTAAAACCCTGGTACAATACGCACCGTTTCAACGTAAATGCATCAATCATACTCTCTCAGCCGTTGGATTGTCTATGATTAAGGTTCTTTGATCAATGACTTCTATTGGGTCGGGGCTTTGTGATTGGGTCCAACCTGAACTGGATCGACTCACTGAGAGCCCAAGGAGCACTCGGGCCCAGAGGACCATAACTCAACTTTCACGATGCCATACCTCAAGGTGGAGAAATTTTTAGCGGATGAATCACGTCACTAATCCGGCCATATTCACAAAAAAGGGGATCTCTTGTGTGAATCTCACAAATTTATTTCACACCAATACAAGAGATCTCACCTTGACATAGTACGTAGCCCTTTTGGATAAAACCGTAGCAAAACCGATCATAAATAAGATTTCAAATGCTTAACTAATCAAAATTAAATAACGGTGAAGTGCGGAAAAGGAAAGCGATTAGATATCGATGACATACAAGAAGTAGCACTTAACCAGAAACGCAGATCATTTTTCAAGTGGAACCAAAAGATGTTAGACAAGGCACCCAGATAAAACGGATTACATTTTAGCTACATTTTAACTACAGTAAACTCCTTTTGAGATAATATGATCACCAGCTACAACAAATTCTACTCCTTTGTACACTTGCAGTGGACTTCTCCAAACTCGTTCAATTCCGGTCAGCCCTGAAACCCCGATTTAGGAGATGGAATGCCTCCGGTGTCTTGAAACCGACTTTGAATCGCCAGGAACATTCGAAGTTGGACTATGAGAACTCCCGGATGTCTCCGAGCTCTTGTTCTCTACATGCCCCTTCCCCACAGACCACAATTTGTCGAAGATTCTCCTTGACCTAGATGGCAGCAACTGCGAACCACTTGCGCTGTTTTTGCTGCTCTTCTTGCCAAGTTTCGCGTTCTTCTGGAACTCTTCTGTTACCTTCATTTGGCTCATCTGTTTTCCCGGAGGCTTGCAGTTTTCTTCTGCTGTCTTGTCGTGTTCTTCGTCCAAATTTGTCGTGGAAAGTGAAGTGTCGCTGGGATGGTTGTTAAGGGCTCGAACGCTAGCTGCAGACCTAACCTGCTCAAGAAGAGAACTTGAACAACAACTCGGAGTGGGAGCTGCTCGTTCTGTGCAGCATCCATGGATGCCTCCACTGTAAGTTTCTTGACATCCATCAATCCGCATATTCTTTTCCTTTCAGCCTTTGTTAAACTAGGGTGCTCCTGGAGACACGGAACTAATCATCACTCAAATCTCAGAAACATGACAAGGCAACTGTAGTGAGAAGCAAAAACCATAAAAGGTCGTACCCAGTGCACAAGGCTCCCGCTTTACGCAGGGTCTGGGAGAGATGAATGTCGGCTAGCCTTACCCCCATTTATGGAGAGGCCGCTCCCAAGTCTCGAACCCGAGACCTACCGCTCATGGACGAAGGCACTTGCCATCGCTCATGGGAGAAGCAAAAACCATGAAGGAGTAAAATCAAAAGAAAAAATAAACCTAGCGGACATGGCTTAAACGCATACCTTCAGGTAGATGTCAATGGCTTTGTACAACCCATCGTGAATTGGCCTTGCTGACTCGGGAATTGATTGTGACAACTCTACGAAACTACTGAGGTTAAGATTTGGGTCATGTGCAATTTCCGCAATGTACCCATCAACCAGTCTACCAACACTCAATAACGTAAAAGTCTCAGTCCCCTTTTCATTCTTCTCGACAACATCCAAATCCCACTTATACTTTTCATGCATCACATACTGATTCACAACAGACTGAACCAACTCAACATCATATATAGTAATTTGAGGAGATCGAGCGGGGATCAATAAGTCATCGACACAAACTTCATGCAACTTCAAACTGATTCTCTTCACCAGCTCCTCCCTCAACGACTCGTCTGCTCCAACCAAAATAGAAACTTTCAAAAGTTTCAGCAAGAAACTTGATGAACAACCCATGCCTTTGTCAGACGGCAGTAAGCAAATAATTGTTTCTACCAGAGATTTGTTCCTCAAGGCGTGTTCATCTGAAACCAGTGCATCAACAGAATCTGGCAACCATCTAACGGCATAAGTCTTCAGAGCCTCCCCAATAACAGTGCCGTCCATTCTTCCCTTCGATTTCACAGCAATCATAACTCGCTTGTAGAGATCAATATCCAACTCACATATGTCTTCAACCCACCAATCCCTTGGAACTTTTTCAATTTTGTCTCGATAATTCATCCCTTCTTCAATAATTTTATCAGGCTCTGCTAGTTTTCGGTTATACGTATAGGACCAGGTGATGTTAGTAGGGTCTACAGACGTTTTAGATGCAATTGAATCTATGCATCTTCCGACAATCTTCAGATCATCAGACCATGACAGAAGAGATTTGGTGGTTTGTAGAACAATAATGGAATCCTTCCAGCTGCGGAAGATGCTTGAGTTAAGGAACACCTCAATTTTGTATATTAGGTTACTGCGATCAACATCCTCGGTCATCTCCAGATACTCAGCAGCACAACGAGCAGCCACAACATTGTAAGCGTTCAGAGTAACAGTCATTCCATAGCAAAACTTTGCACAAATTTCAAAGGATTTTGGCCCACCGGGAAAATCAACCATGTCAACTTCTTCAGAATCATCGTTGGGTTTAGATACTAGTTTTTGCAGGCGATTGCTCTTGGACAAGAGAGGGAACTAGAAAAACAGATATAATCAACAATATGAAACAGAGCTCGCTTCAGCAGAGAAAGTAGCAGTAATTCTAGCAACAAATGTACCACTCAATAATAATCACCAACATTTCAGATTCACCGCTATTATGTTCATCGAAACATAAAAAAAAGGTCGTACCCAGTGCACAAGGCTCCCGCTTTACGCAGGGTCTGGGAGAGGTGAATGTCGGCTAGCCTTACCCCCATTTATGGAGAGGCTGCTCGCATTTATGTTCATCGAAACATAAATCGCAAAAAACATTCATATGCACATATGACCACGAAACAAATCAATGCTATTATAGTAAAAAAATTATGTAAATTGATGAAGACGGGTGGCAAGGAAAAAAATACCTTGTGAAGGTAAAACTTCACATCCCCAACATTAATAATGACATCTGTTTGCAAGTCAGATGACACATATCTGCATGAACATACGAAAACCAGTTAAATCGCCTAGACACGAGGATCATAGAAACTACAAGAAGGCACGCATTTACAAAATATTTGGATCCGTACGAGGCAAACAGTTACAAAAAAATTTTCAAATATAAAAAATCGGGCTTAAGCACTATGAGAAGGTGGTTTGCGGAAAACTCCACAACCGATGTCAGATTATAGACTTCAAATTCGAGCTGTAGTTGAAACTAAAATGTCATAAGGAAACTAGACGTGCAAGAATTAGCGAGTTCCAATCAGTTCCATATTTATTCAGATGACGGCAAAACAATCCACAGGAAGAAAAACAAGTCCGCTAATTTGTTTAAAGACTAAAAAAATTGCAGATGAGAGAAAATCAGTTAAGGTGGTTTGGACAAGTGAACCGACCTACAAATGCTCTGGTTAGAACATGCGAATACGAGATAGAGGCTTAAAGAAAAAGGGTAGAGGAAGACCTGGAAAAAGACTCTAAGAAAAGACATAAGAGTACTTAGAGCAAACAGAATACTTTACGCAAAACTGGGGTAGTGGCGTTCTTGAATTCTTACAGCCGACCCCACTTAGTAGAATAAGACTTTGTTGTTATCGCTGATTGATTGAACCGATGTCATCGTTCACCAGAAGAATTTCACAGGTGTGATGATTACAGATCTTGGGGCTACTCCATATGACTTCTACCACATTTGGACCACAAAACTCGATAAAATAGTGACATTCCAAATGCAGGACCACATCCTGAAAGACAACTGCCACACCACAACTCCCTATAACCCTACACTCTCCAAAATTTAAATAGGCAATACTTTTAAGGGGAGAAAGAATAACAATGATACGAACAGCACAAAACGCCCATGTGCTTTCTTCCTTCCCCTACCTTTGTTTTCTTGTTTATTTATCTCCTCAAAAGTTTCTTGTAATATCCTATCCCAAAAATAAAGGGTTTTGTTCTGGAGAGGTGGTAGCTAATCTTTCACGTTTTTTTCAGTATTTTAAGGTAAATAATTCACCACCTAGTAGTAAATTAGTAATTTCACACTTTTCTTTCACCATTCAACGGCAGCATTTCACCAGCTCTGTACAGAAACAGAGCATACTTGCAGAAAGAAAGAAAAACTCAAACACATGTTTTCTGTCAAGCAAAAGTTAACAATTTTAATTCTAGAGAGAGAAAAAGGACCCCATTTACTTAAAATTTCACGATTCTAGAGAGAGAAGAAAACCCAAAATTCAGAATCTAAGAGAAGTTCATCAAGTTCATAGCATTGACAGGAGAGGCAAAGAAAATTTAAAAAAAAAACCAACACTGGAAAATATAAAAAGGGCATTTAGGATTGTTGAGAGAACAAATGAAAAGCATTTTACCTGATAGACTTGCCATCAGCCTGAAATGCATCAGGCTTGGACCCCAGCTTCATAAACTTCATTTTGGTGCCAAAATACCCTTCTTAGCCACCAGAAATTACAGCACCAAACACCTACAAACGAAGTCCAACTCCTCCACAGAGATTATAGACTCCGTTCCGTTTCTGCTCAAGCTGCGTCAATGCCAACTTTCTCTCTCCTCCCTCTCTCTCAAATGGCGGGTCCTGAGGAACTCTCAGCCGAACAGAGAGACAAAACCCCTCTCCTTCTTCCCTCTCCCTCCTGTCCCTCTCTCCAAGACACGCAACCAGCAGACCATAAACGTTTTGGAACGAGACAAGCACTGTCCCTGCCCTTATCGCAAAAGCCTCGACCTTTACGCCCTCCCCATTCGTTTCCCAACCCTTTGTGATGACACTGATGACGCTTCTTACACAAAACCCACAACTATTTCCGCCCAATCGCAAAAACCCACAACCCAAAAAATTAAAAAAAATGGACAAAGTATTGAATTTTCAGAGGATTTTATGAATAAACCATGCGCTGTCTCTCTTGTTTTTCTCTCTAACCCACAACCCGAAAAATCCAAAAATGCAGAAAGAATCGATTTTTCAGAGGATTTTAATGAATAAACCAAACCCCACCCTCTCTCTCCTCCCTCTCCTCCCTCTTCTCCCTCTCTCTGCTTTCTCTCTCTAACAGTCTGCAAGCACAGAGGGAATAATAAATTGTCGCCGCCTTTGCTTTAAATCACTTCCTGATACGCTGAAGATCTTCCCCTCTCGTCGTTTCTTAATGATTTTTTTTCCCACGGCGCGAATCTCGACGACGACCCGATGATGTTTGATATGTAATCTGACGCGGCTGTCTCCTCCTCCCTCTGAAATTTGCAGCGAAAGAGAAAAAAAATGGAGAGAGAGGGGGGGAAAGTTAGAGAGAGAAAGTGGTGGTGGTGGAGTGAGGTTCGGGTCTAGTGAGAGAGTGCGTGGGTGTGTATAGAGAGTAGGGGACTGTTTAACAGAGTATCTCAGAGGACTTTTAAGAAGCTTTTATGCCGTTAAAGCACGCCACCCTTTCATGGACGCTTTTGCCCTCGGTATTTGGTGTTTTATGCCCGATGTGTCCCTTCTAGTCGTCTTTGCTTCGCGGGAGATCTTGTGTTACGCGCCGGGGAAGGAGAGTGGGCGGGGTTGGTGGGGCCTCGTGCCGGGTGGATGTTCCTGGCGTTTGACGCGTAGCTAAGACGAGGAACTTTTGACTTTGGACGTCTCAGTCTATATTTAACTTAAGAACATTAGCGTTAAAAAAGAAAACTTAAGAACATTGTTCTAAAAATCCATGCCTAATGCCGCCTAGGTCCAACCTAGTCTCATCTAGGCCTCGTTTAGGGGTTAGGCCGGCTACCGTTTTAATTAATGTCTAAACGTTTGAAAATTAATAAATGACGCTTATACCTGCAAAGGTACCCGCTTAGGTCGTGACTCATTTAAACAAAAAATAGATAACTTTCATTTTGCATTTTATTTTTTTTAATAAATTATAAGAGATTTGTTGCATACTTAAATGAACACACATTATATCATTGTTCCTCATGTTTTCATTATGTTCCAACACTTCATAATATATATGTTATTCTATTTTGTAGTTTATGATGAAATTATATATATTTAAATTATATGCAAACACTTATTTACATAAAATATAATAGATTTAATGTCTAACTTCTTTTAAAACCTTGCTTAAGAATGAGAATTGGATAAAGATTGTTCGTCTAGGAAAATAAATTATATGACACGGATATACTGACATTATAACTTTATGTTAAAACAAGGCAAATGACTTGTATCACTTATCAAGTAGGATTTTCTTCCCTTTAAATTTCTTTATTCTCCTTCTCTTTTATAGAGCAAATTGTAACATGAATATGATGACACTATAACATTCATGTTAAAGGGGCTCAATCGTGACCTTTCAAATAGAAAGAGATTGAAAAAAGAAAATTTGAAAAGGAAGATAATCAAAATTATACATTACAATAGAGAAGGCCGAAATAAAACTTATCGTAATCTTAATTCATTAGTTCACTTTCTTGAAGTACATTGATAATCACTGAGATCATGTCACGACTCATAAACCTAGAATGTAAGATCAATACATAAGCTCCAATCTTACAGCTTAAGCGAATTTGTAACTGTTACATTAAAAAATCACTCATTGATTAAGTAAAACAAGTGTTTACATATTTATGATCAATTCTTCAGCTGATGAGTTTATCGACATCCCTATTGTAATTTTCAAAATAATTTGTTCAAACTATTATATAATCTATGCACAGTGCATTCAACTTAAAGTTAATTGGATTGAGATCCTTTCAGGATAAAAGACTTCAAAATCTAAGCCGTCTAAGAGAAATAAAGAGATTCGTACATTTTAAGTTTTTGAGATTCTATGGAATGGGCCAGTAGAATGAGTCAATGAAGATTGCAGGATTGAAACTAAGTTGGCTAAGATTCGGAGTCCAAACACCGAAATCCAGAGTGCATATGACAATATGAATCCAAGTTAATCCACCAACTATTACCCTTTCACATTTATTATTATCCATGGCAGGAACCAAATCTATTTTATGCAGTAAATTCAAAAACAACATGCAATCAATTGGTCAAACAGACCAAATTTCAAACACCTAATTTTTCCTTTTCCTTCGTTTAATTTAAATCTTTTTTTTTTGTTTCTTTTAATAATACAGCCCTAAAGCTTCGGTTTTAAGCTTCAAACTTCATGCACATGGTTGTACGTGTGTGACATTTAGGATCCTAGGCAATGGTTCATTTTGGCAAACGTGGAAATTTGACCATCGACTCTTTGACTTTTACCAGCCCGATTTAGACTCCAGAGTTTAGTTCATACTCGTTAAATGATTCTAGTTCATACTCAATAATTTTATTATATTTTCGCATGAATGTAGGATTGAATATGCGACTAAAGATTCAATAATCAAGATCAAACAGATGAATAATTCTGGTGTATATTATTTACCAGTGCATATTAAAAAGCCGCTTATGTACTTTGCTTCAAGTCAAAAGCCAGTAGAGTAGGCAGTACTTAATTTAACGAGTAAAAAAATATTACTTGAATTGCCCAACTTCCATTAGAAAAGACTATTATAGTCAATTACAGAATGCTCCTTTGGGCAATACGATTTTCGTGAGTAATATGCGAAGCAGCTGAGCGATAGGTCTCTTTGATCGTTATATTCTTGCAATAGCAAAGACATAGTTCATCCTTTAAGAGAGAGTATATACGAAAATTTGGATCGAAAATCTTCGGTTGGGCTGTCTTGCGAAGTTCGGCACTCGAAGGCTTGAGGAGCAGTTGAATTGCCTAACCTCCACTACATTAGACTATTATAGTCAATTAGAGAAACCTCTTACATGCATGAAAAGTATGTGATAATTAGTTCAATGGTTGTAGGACGCTAATTCAACGTAGTCCTGATTATTTGAACAGTATTTATCAGTTAGTACAAGGTAGTTAAACTAGAAAATGAATGTATAATCTTTGACAAAACCAACCAAGAAAACTACTACTTCGTAAGTGAACGTAATTAGGGTTCGAATCTAAATTAGGGGTTATGTCGGCTTCACATGCAGTATGATTGAGTTTACTGTTACGTGGTTTTTTAATTTAATAATATAATATCGTATGGTGAAATTTTTTAATAGAATATTATATTACTTGATCAGAACATCACAATAGCGGTAAATTTATTTCATAAACAAAATTTTCCTTGTAGGGAGAGAAGAACAATGTTTGGCTACTCGATGATGAGTATGAATTTCTGTTCAAAACTTTTAGTGTTCGAATCACATAATTTTGTGCTTATGATAAGAATCGATCATATTATGAATCACTCTGTAAATATCATCTATGCAAAATATGAATTAAAACTAGGGTCGTTTAGTCAATCTATATTGTAGTAAATACATAGACGGTTCGTGATGCTTTTACCAATTCCGTTCATTTGTTTTTATACAGTTCAATGACGAAACGACCTTAGTTTTAATTGATTTATTTCCAGAAACGATCTTTACGTAGTGATTTATCATATGAATGATTATGATCATAAACACGATTCTTTATGAACCGGCAATGAACATTTTGAGTTGAAACTCCTACTCATTCTTTAAGTAACCAAGTATTATTCGAGATAGAAATGACAAGCAACTGTGCAGGACGAGTGAGAAATATGTGTGTTGGTGAAGTTGAACCATGTTTTCCCGGTCGACTTAATATCAGGTGGTCCAATAATATTAATAGTTAGCTGAGCTACTATTGGTCCCTTGAGGCATAGAGCCTCAGGGTTTATTCAAGAAAGAAATGACAAGCAACTATGCAGGACAAGTGAGATGTATGTGTGTTGATGAAGTTGGACCATGATTTCCCTGTCAACTTAATATCAATTGGTCCAATAATTTTAATAGTTAGCAGAGCTACGATTGGTCCCTTGAGCCATAGGGCCTCAGGGTTATGTACAAAGTGTAATCGATCCCCTTAAATGTTTGCTTATTTTCTTGGGCAAGAGAACCTTTCAGAGTACAAGTCCCCCCATTTCTCTCACATCTTTACAGCTGCAATTCATCATTCTACCTTTCCTCAACTACTTCTGCTACTTTATCCTTTAATGTCTTCATATCAAAGCATTTCTTCTTTTAGATGAAAAAAAAAAAAATCAATAAAGGGAGTATGAAGAATCAAGCTCATGTACCAATTGAGTGAGCTTGATTCTTCTTCCTAAGAGCGTTTTCAGTCCATCCCAATTAGTAGGGTAATTGGGAAAAAATCACCCAAAAGAAGGAAAAATAAGTGATCTAGCCCACACCCAAAAGTCAAGCAATTTAGCTACCTAACCCAACCCGACCACTAAATTTGGGGATTATTGCCTAACCTTGTGCTCAAGTGATATGACTTCAGCCATGACCAAAACAGAGGGGATGGAGAAGGATTATCGCCTAACCTTGAGCCCAGGTCTCCATCTCCTTCCTCTTTGACAACCTTGGCCGCATCGACGATTTCTAGGTTGTCGTCACTTTGACGATTTCTGGGTTGGATTTTAGTGTGTTAAACCTAACACGGGTCGGATTTTACTGAAGTATGTATAATGCTCACACGCGATTGCTTAAACTATTTAAGATAGTGAATGAGTTACATATCATAAATGCACCAACGATCACACACATAAATGTACGACTGACTCTAACACAACTCAAACAATGTACATAGTATTTCCAATATTGATTCACATGTTTAAGGCACATACATTTGTTCATGATGTAAACTCGTGGCTCTCCTCTAAAGTAGAAATTAGTAATAGGCGTGAGCCTACCATCACAAAGTAATGATATATACATATGATAGAAAGGAAGAAAAAAAAATATGAGGGTCCCAAGCCAATAAAACTTTATAGAGAGGAGGAGGGGTTTGATCTTTGATGTGCTTTTTGCTTGGCAAATAGGGCAATGTGGGGGACCATATATGCCTTGGTGAAGAATATAAGTTTGCACGTTTTGGGTTTGATTGGTGGTGTTTGTATTACACATTGGAAGATTCTGTCCATGTTTTATGCTCTTAAAGCTCGACATTTACTTACCCATATATCACCTCTGCTTCCCCTGCCCCCCGCTCCTCTCTCACGTACACACACACAATAGCGTGAGATGAAATTTGGCTCGTGTCCTAAACCCTATGTAACCGCAATCCGAAATCATATGTGGGGGTGACCATCAGGTTGTGTTCGTGTTACTTATTTATATTGGTGTTGTGTTTGTGTCAAGTATGTGTTGATCAATACGCGGACGAATATGAAAATCATAATAGAACAATAGAATAATTCATATTACTCGTTGAAAAAGAAGGAAAGTTGTGTTAATCATGTCTTGTCACGTCATATATTTGTGCACGTTTTGAGTCTTTTTTTATGTGTCTTATGTGGAATTTCTTTGATAAATTGA